TATATATGTATACACCGCCCATTTAAGAAAGATGGATTCTAATCTGTGTGCAAAGCTTCATTGACAAACTGTTAGATTACAAGTTGAAGCTGGATTTCCCAGAACGCATGAGGTAAGTTTGCAACCTGAGAAGTAAACTTGTTAATCTATAAAAGCTGGACTAACTAACCCAAAGTAGGCACATAGAGCTTTGGTGCCTGTGCCTACTTTCTTTTATTTTCATGCGTGCCCAAGGTGTACTTGAATCCAGAGCACTCTATATACAAATGTTCACTTTCTGCTATCTTGCACACCTCCCTGTTGCCTCCCCTGCAGTGTCAACCTCACTTTTGGTTACAAGCGCTCAGGGTATTACATCGAGAAGGGTGTTTAGCATTGTAGCAAAGCTCCTAGGAGTGCAATGTTGATATTATCGCTAGGCAGTGCCCATGGGGTTAAAAGAAGGTACGTGCCATTAGTTAGCGCCTGATTTTTTTTTCTAGTTAGGTCTTCAGTCGTTTAAGTGACAGCTTTTGTTAAGTCCAAAAACACTGTCATGTATGGTTTCAGTGCTGTAGAAATAATGTAAGCGCTATAATGGATTTGAGGGGCTGTAGGTTACATGCTTTTCAAAGAAAACTGCCTAGTTGCTGGTATCAAGGAACGGTGAGGCTTATTTTGTTTTTTGTTAAGAATTTTTAACTTTTTTTTTTTTAGAAGTTATTTAGTTCTGCTGGACAGTATTACATAGAATAATACATAGGTTATCTGCTTGAATGCAGTACTAATTATAGTCATTTTAGTTGTTAATATTATAACTATGATTATGTTTTATCAATAATGATAACGAAGTGGTTCATTATTTGAAACTGATGCACTTTAACGTTTTGAGTAAAAGCATTTTAAAATGAAGTGCATTAAGAAAAAGCGCAGTCTATACAGTTCATAAGTTAACAAATTGCATACCTTACAGGGAGGTTATTTATAATTATTTAAAGATTGTGATGACTTTTTGCCAAATTTTAAAAAAAAACACTCTAAGGCTTGGCAAATATCCCTTAAAATTTCAATGAACTCAGGTAAAATATGTAGCTTAGAAGTCTAGCAAAAAATGCAGTTCTTTCCTTCAATGCCATTAGAGATTTAAAGTGTACTTGCAATTTAAAGGCCGTGCAGTAAGCAATTTGTTAACCTTTTAGAATTAATACTTCATATTGTCTCTATGGGCTGAACATTTTCAATCACCACTTTTGTTCCTAAATGCTGTGCTTATGTATACTTGTGCAGTATGCTAGTAATGTGTTCGACTGGTATTGAAGTGGCATTTGGAAATGTTATGAACAATTTTGTTCCATAATTTTGTCCAAAATTTAAACGTAATTCCTTTAAACACCTCTATGCCACTGTTTAAGTCTATAGACAAGCTTGAACAGTATTAAACTCTTACAAATGTAAGTAACACCTATAACATTTAAGTAGATAATGTGCAGGTAGAAAGAGAGATGCGAGGTTAATGGACACAGAAGTGCCTAGCCTGGGAAAAAGTACACTGGCAGATCTGGGGCACAAGAATTTACCATACGCTTACATCACCTTTCTCCTCTAAAACATTGTAAAGGTAAATACTTTACAGCCTGCATTAAAGATGAGATAATAGCACTACTTGTTATAAAACTAGAAATGTAATGCATTCTTAGCTTTGTTTTGTGGTGTTTTAAAAATGTCAATGGGTATTATATTGTATTTATCTTAATTAGATAATCCATGTTTCTCTGGCATTTTATCCATAATATTGTCTTTGATCAATGAGCTAGTTCCCACAAACGGACATTACATTTTTATATGTGATACCAAATGGTAAATTATGTTCTGGCTTGTCTTTGGCACACACATAGTGAGAGCTGTTCATATAAGACTTCATTCCCACCCAGTCCCACCCAACTGATGCTGCCATTACAAAAGAATATTACAGTTCATATTTATTTTACATTATAAAGAATGCAGTAGTATGATTAAGACTCACACAGCTGCAGCAGAAGGTCTCATACCCCCAAGACCTGGTGGCTTTGCTTTGAAACCTCATTGCTAGTCTCCTGCAAGAAATATAAGAAGTGAGTGAATGAGCTAAGCTGGTTATACACTGCTTTTATTTTGGCCAAGTCCTGCTGTGGGTGGCTGTGACACCACTACTCCATTTGTCAGAAGTTGATATTTCAGTCAACAACTCAGTGGCAACAATTGTTGGCTGATTGGCTGCAGTCACTGTTCGGGTATTCTAACAGCTGCGGACACTGCCTATCGGACTACAGTAGTCAGCGAGGGGAGATTCAAGCATTTTTTTCTCATTCTACCTGCTGAGATGAATGAGAAAACAACTACCATTGTATGGTCAACCTTAGACCACCAGTGTGTGGCAACAATTAAATTATTGGTTGTGGGTGCACTCAGTTTAAAATGTTATTTATTAGCTAAAAAACATGTTTAACCTTTAACTACAGGTAATCCTAAATTTCATAAATTAAGAACAAAAAAAAATAGGTGCATGTAACCTTATGCTAAGTTTACTAGTTATTTCTATACGAGTGAAAGTCTCATTTAACAGCTAAAATGTAGCATCTGACTAGTTTCTATATCTCTGGTTGTAGCTCATTGCTGTCATTCCCCGCTATCTAAGTTCACGTTTTCATAATAGGTAGATCATTCTTGATCCAGTCCACAAACCATAAAAGAACATCCTTTATGAG